ACTACAACAGAGCTCCTGCTAGCATCACTACAATTAAATTCCATTCCCTGTGGGATCATGGAGATAGAATTCCTGATGATAACATCAGGAGGATCTACACTCTCGATAGAGTTCATTCTGACATCACCACCCTTGGTCTCCATTTCCTGTGGGATCGCTGGGATATAGTTCAGTTTGATATCACTGCCACTGGGTTTTATTTCCTGTGGGATCCCTGCAATAGAGTTCCTATCATCACCATTGGATTCCATTTCCTGTGGGGTCACTGGGATAGAGTTCCTTTTTATATCAGGAGGAGGATCTACTTTCCCGATGGAGCTCCTTCTAATATCACCACCACCATTGGCTTCTATTTCCTGTGGAATCACTAGGTTAGAGTCCCCTCTGACATTACCATCCTTGGGCTCCATTTCCTGTGGGATCTCTGGGATAGAACTCCTTCTGATATCACCGACATTGGAATTTGTTTCCTGAGGGATCACTGAGATAGAGTTCCTTCTGACATCACCATCATTGGGCTCCAGTTCCTGTGGGATTACTGGGATAGAGTTCCTTCTTGCCTTGTCACCTTTGAGGTCTAGGTCTTGTAAGATCACTGGGATACCAACGTTCTCTACTTCCATTATGAAGATGACAGAGCAAACGCACAACCCTGTAGAAAATTAAGATTTCCCCACAAAGAGAGAGTGAGAGATTACGCAAAAGCAACACTCACTTCCTAAATGAAATTTTTATCCCTTATTTTTATATGTTTCAAGTAAAAGAACAAAATGAAGCAAAGTGCTCACCAAGAATCTGATGCAACTGTAATGTAGTGAAAATCTTGAGGCCTCAAAACTTCACAAGGCTGTTATGCTGCATTCAACATGAATGAAAACATTCACTCACAATAGTTCCAGAAAAAAATAATGACGATTTTATATTACATCATGAACAGAAAAATGAAAGCTAGCTAAAACTGAAGATCGCATTGTTATTGAACGAAATGATCACCAGTTTTGGAAATGTACATTTAACCCTATACATCTAAAAGTAAATGATGGGCCTTTTAACATTTACTGGACCTATTCCTTTCTTTCTTTCCCCCATCTTGGATTAGGGCTTTATCCTTTTTAGCACACATAAGAACTTGTCACTGCAACTTCACCTAAGAATTTGTCAAACATAAGTCAATTAAGCATTCAACCTCGTAATTCAGATGGTATTCCCTTCAGATACCATGCATCAACTTGTAGCATTTGCAATGCCACAAGTGCACACAAACTCTATGTATGTAAAACACTAGCTGCTACTTGCTAGGGTCAAAGCAGCAGGCATGCACAAGTGCACACAAACTCTCATGCATGTATAAGAAGATTAATTCCACTTTCAAGGCTCAAAAAACTTTACACAACTTTATGCGAACATTTTGAAAAATCTTAAATCAGCCTATCGATTGGAAAACAAAACAAACGCACCATCTGACAGCTAAAACAGGAGAAAGGTCGACATACCATGATAGGTCTCCTCCAAGAATTAGTCTCAGTTATTGAGTTCTTTGTTCAAAACCTGACAGATCATACAAAAGGTATAATCATTATAGATGCAAAAACACCTACGTTCTGCACTTACAAACACCAATAACAAAACAAGACAATGTATCGCCAAAATCAGCAAACTATCAAAATCGTAAACTTGCAATTCCCTCAATCAACAATTGAGAAAAAATTATCCGCTTACACGTCCAAATAGCCTAAGAGAATCCTCTAAAATCTTTGTTTACCCATCAGAATGGTAAAGAGCAACCAATTTGAAATTTGATTGTCAAGGATGGAAAAAAAAAAAAAAAAAAAAAAAAAAAAAAAAAAGGAAAAGAGAACAAATTTCTCATCATCTATCATGCGTCTTAAGGATCAACCCATTAGCAAGCTGCCAAGGAAATGCTCATTTTGGCAAAACGGAGACTAGCCCATTTGCAGTTTTCACACAAAATATTCATTTTACACAAAAACAAATAGAAAGATCCTTCTTTCACATTAACCTTGGAATTATAACCATAAAATAGACAAACCCCATTTGCAATTCATCAAGAAAAAGCTCATTCTGAGCAGAAACAAAATCCAAAACACTGAAAAGAGCATCAAGATCATACCTTTTTCTTGTGTCTCTTCCTACCCTTCCCATCAAGGTAGCATGAGAACTTGAGAAGAGAAGACCCCAGAAGGGGCTGTGTGAAATTGGTTGCCTTAGAAAGAGTGGTGATTTTTTCGTAATTGCAATTGACTGGCTCTTTGAGGATGAGAATGCGCGTTTGTTTTTGTTGCAACCAAAATAAACTCTTCCCAAAATGAACGAAACAAAGTTGAAAAAAATAAATTTTGAAAAATAAAAAAGTAAATAAATAAAATAAAATAAAAAACATCTTTTGCCTTTTACCTTTTGTTGGCGGGTGGCCTTTCTTTTGGTGGGAAGATCGGAAGTGGAGGAGAGAGAAACTTCTAGAAAGAGAAAATCATGGAAAGTGAGGGCGGCTCCCATCCCTAATAAGGAACGTTCTTTATCCAGAAACACTTTATCCGCCAGGGGTGATGATTAGGTGACCTGACTGTGAGTCTGCGTTTGACGACAAACACGCGCGAGCGACCATAATTCTCTCCTATTTTTAGTTTTTTTCTTCTTCTTCATTAACTGTTTTTCTTTTCTTACCGATAAAATTAAATATAATTTTATTTCGATTATTTTTCTAAAAAATAGTTTTCATCCACCAACCAATTATATTTATTGGTGGGTTTGGTAAACTAATTATGAAGAACAATATAACTTAAAACTTTGGTGCAATAATCCTCTGTCTGTCTGTCAATCAAGTGCTAACATCAGGAACAAATAATAATTAAGGTCGACTATGAAATTTGATCTGCATAAAACCATGGAGAATGACCCTCCAACTAGTCATAATTAGGGTCCTTTAAAGAAGCATGAATCAACTTTTAAAATGCCTATTGGATTTGGGTTTGATCGTCTCGTACAAGTACTGGTAGTACTAAGATGGTTAGCTTTTTTAAATAATAAATAAATACAATTTTGTAAAAATAAAAATACTTGAGGCTTGAGGCTTGAGGCTTGAGGCTTGAGGCTTGAGCAAATATTTGGGTATAAAGAGGCCCAAAAATGTAGCATTAGAGTTTTAAAATGTACATAGTTTAGGCCTTTTGTAAAGATCTAGGCTCAATTGAATCCTTTATTTGGGTTTACTAACATAATTTGGTCCAAATCAAATACACAAATACATTGGAGGCAATTCCAAGCCCAAGCCTGCCTTGGTTTTGGACCAAAAGAAGAAAAAGCCTGCCTTGCTGGATGAGTAAACTTTACAAGGTAAATGTCGTAAAGGCTACAATGTCAATCGGGGGTACCGTATGGGGTGAGAGGTTCAATCCGACCATTAAACTTTAACATTTTTAACTTATACATGGTTAGATTGGATCCCTCACTTAATTCCCTCACCCATATCCCCTCATTGTAGCTTGTAGCAGCTCTAGATAAATGTTGTTGTAGTTATAATATAAACATTGAGAAGAAGACTCCTAGCAATTGAGATCACCAGATTTTTTTAACAGAGTCTAGTAAAAGCAATTTCAACATAAAGTTACATATATTATATGATGACAAAAACTATAAGTGAAAATGATTTTAGCAAGGTCATGAAAGAAAGTTAAAAAAAATGAATAACCTACTTTACCTTACTTTCAAGCTCCAAGTTTGCTTCCTTCTAAGTTTTTGCTCCATCATTCAAGTGTAGGTAAATATCTCAGCCAATACCAATACATACATATATATATTATTACAATTACAGACTGTCCAAAATTGTAGGTGTAGAATACTTTGGCAGTCAGTAAATTACTGGTAAACATGCATGAATTTGAAAGCAATCTTATACCCCCTAAATGCATATGATTCAAGGGCTTGTCCTGTCTTCATGTTAAAGGTTTGGTTAGATTACAGAACCCAGCTAAAAGCAATCTTATTTGAATGGCCCACCAAATAGTCAAAAGAACTCAATATATGCTTTCTATCATTGACTGTGTTTAACTCTGATTTTCTTATTAGTTTCATAACCAAGGCATTGCTATAATTAGTGCTTAGCTTAAGCCCCTCCTAATTATCAAAAAAACCAAATTAAAAAGACTCACCTAAAGTAATTTAATACCACTTATAGGGATTTTAGCTATGCCATCAATGTAATTTACCTTGCAAGTTTTCCATCTCCATACAACAAACCTTCCATATGGCATGATAACAAAGTGACAAGACAGGCCAATCATTTACTTACTAGATTAGCTAGGATATATAAATATAATTAATTTACTTGTACTTGCATGCTTAGATTACACACTAACAAAAGATTTTTTTTGACAAAATTATGAATCCATCTCTCCCAAAGTGATAAATGTTAATCTTTATCAGTGCATGTGTCAGATCCTTTTTTCTAATAGAAGCAAAAGTATTTTTTTTGGAGAAGAAAGGAATTAAAGGGAGGGCTATGATCACTTTCACTTCACGACCACAGTTGCAAGTCAAATGAAAAAAAAAAAAGGAAATTGTGTTGAATAAACATGTTCACTGTTTCATGATTGTTCATGTTCCCTTGGCTTCAAGAAGGGGCATTCTTCTATTGTGGGGACTCAGACTCAGACTAGGCTAGCTACTTTTCTCTAATTATACCCTTTTTCTAAAAAGAAAAAAGATTGATATCAAACGAATAGTTTCCATAAGTACACCCGGATTCGATTCACGTAAGAGATAATCTTAAGGCAACCCAATTTAATACTTCCCCCTCCCCCTCCCTAGCGAATGATTAAAAAAAAAAAAGAAAGGAATAGTTTCTATAAACCAACAAAAGAAAAATAATGGTGATATGTTTGATGCCAGAACCAGAGAAAATATCAGCAGAAAATCCAAACTACATGATAAGTTTATCACCAAACTTAATGGCCATCAAGGTCCTTCTGTTCTGCCATTTTCATGTAAGAGAGTGTGGGTATATTGGCATTCAAACACCATTGAAAGCAAAGATATTTTGATATAATTAGGCACATAGTTTAAGTTATTCTTTTCATGGAAGGTTAAGGACTGAATTGAACTTACCTGCATGAGCCTGCATCCCAAAGACTTTAATTGGCTCGAGAATGTTTAGTTGGGACAAGATCATGATGAGAATATGTAATTAGGTGGAACTGTTGAAGATGGATCACAAATAACAAAAGATGACATTGAAAATTTTCATGCAAGTTAACTTTTTTTTAGTTAAAAGTAGACAAATCCTTGGCATTGATTTTAATCTGTCACGTGTGGTCTCCCAGCTAGCAAACCATCTCTATCTCCCAACATTATTATGAATTTCCCATCTGTTTGCGTGAACAAAATTCAGCTATAAAAAGCCAATCAGCAACAACAAATTTCCCACACCACCACCCTGTGATCTGACCAACCCTTTACTCAAAATTTAAAGCCAAAACCATAACCATGGTTTCTGAGACTTACCAATCCAAAAAAGTTTGTGTAATTGGAGCTGGACCCTCAGGGCTTGTAGCTGCAAGGGAGTTGAGGAAAGAAGGTCACAGAGTGGTGGTTCTGGAACAAAACCATGATGTAGGAGGGCAATGGCTGTATGACCCTAATGTGGAGGGAGAGGACCCCTTAGGAAGGACACCTTCTCTAAAAGTGCATAGCAGTCTTTACACCTCTTTAAGGCTCATATCTCCCAGAGAGATCATGGGCTTCACTGACTTTCCATTCTCAGTGAAGAAGGGTAGGGACATGAGAAGGTTTCCTGGCCATAGGGAACTTCTTTTGTATCTTAAGGATTTCTGTGACTGGTTTGGATTAAGGGATTTGATAAGGTTCAATACTAGGGTGGCATATGTGGGGATGTTGGATTATTATGGTACTAGTACTGATGATGTAGTTGGCTGCGAAGATTTGAAATGGGTTGTTAGGAGTGTAGAGAAGAAGACTCAGATTGTCATGGAAGAGGTGTTTGATGCTGTGATTGTGGCCACTGGCCATTACTCTCAGCCAAGGTTGCCTTCCATTAAAGGTACTTTCATCAATTTCTTTAGTTTCATGCTAGCTCATGTGAATAACTTTAACATTCTTAATCATATTATATATGGTTTTAATCTCTCTGTTTCCATTTTCTTTTTTCCTTTTGCAATTGTGGTTTTCATTTGGTCATATTTAGGAATGGATGCATGGAAGAGGAAGCAAATGCATAGTCACATCTACCGGGTTCCTGAGCTGTTTGCCGATGAGGTAAGGCAATAGATTAGATCTAATTAGTTCTCTGCTGCAATGGATCAACAAAATTTTCAAGCTTTTAAAAGATTAAGTGATATATTTTCCTCTGCTTGCAGGTTGTGGTGGTGGTTGGAACTTCACTAAGTGGACAAGATATATCAATGGAACTAGTGGAAGTGGCAAGGGCAGTCTACCTCAGTGGAAAATCTCTTGACATATCTGAGGGCTTGTCCAAAGTCATTTCCAAGCATGAGAACTTGCACCTTCGTCCGCAGGTTCAAACAAATATGAAATTGCCTCTTGCCTTACCTTTCAAAGCAGGGCCCATTGCAATCCCATTAGTTTCATTTAAGCATGCTCTTTTTTCTGCATTCTGTTTATAAGCAACAAAACTCTGTTTCGTTTTAAGCAATCCCATCATTTTTTCTTTCATGTGCAAGCAAATGTTGGTAACAAACATTTAAATGCAACATTCTGCTGCAGATAGACTGCCTTCAAGAAGATGGGAAGGTATTATTTGTGGATGGTTCTTGGGTCATTGCAGACACCATCATGTACTGCACTGGGTAAATTTTGAAACCCAATTTGACCTTATAATATGCTGGTGGATCTACTTGCTTTTGAAAAGTGATTGGTGTTACTATGGACTTTGACTGGGAGATTTTCTATGGGTCCCTACATTCAAATTATGGACCCCACAGCTTGTTGCAATATAATTAATTAATTGGTCCAAGCGGGCTGTGCGCAGGTATTCATACACATTCCCCTTTCTTGACACCAAAGGAATAGTAGCTGTGGATGATGACAGAGTGGGCCCTTTGTATGAGCACACCTTCCCTCCATCACTTGCTCCCTCTTTATCTTTTATAGGCATTCCTAGAAAGGTAATTTAATAAATCTTTGTTCTACATATCTAGCCTTCATTTTCATCATTCTTTATGTGAGATTAGTACATGATATTTTTGGCTAATTAGTCCATAATCTGATACAGATCATAGGGTTCCCTTTCTTTGAGTCACAAGCAAAATGGATAGCTCAACTACTCTCTGGGAAAAGAACATTGCCATCAAGGGATGACATGATGCAGTCCATTAAGGAACTCTATCACTCAAGGGATGTTGCTGGCATTCCAAAGCATAATACCCATGATATCGCAGAATTCGAGGTAAAAACAAAAAATTAGTACCACATTTACCAACCACGTACTCGTAAAGGTAGTGAGATGCGTTAAATTTATGTATATACTTGAATGAGCTGGTGAGGCTGTCAAGCCATTGATGTGTGGTGTGGCCACACATATTGTAGCTTGCATTCTAAGCTCTCTCTCCCTTTTGTTTTGCTTCTTGTTGCAGTATTGTGATAGGTATGGAGATCATATTGGGTTCCCACATTTAGAAGAGTGGAGGAAAGAGCTTTGCCTTTCGGCCCTGAGAAATGCTGACACCGACTTAGAAACATATAGGGATTCGTGGGATGATCATGAGCTGCTTCAAGAGGCTCTTCAAAGTCCACATTTCACTCAACATGGGGCTCAAGATTTTCCTCTGTAAACCTGAATTATATTATTATTATTTGCTTGGACCACGAACTTTAAGTATACCTATTATAAAAGTATTTGTTATTGTTGAGAGAGAAAGTTCTTTTATTTTTATCTTCATTTTGTTTTTCTGTGGTACTTTTGGCGGAATGAAGGGGTATTCACCATTATTAGATTTACAGAAATGGTAGAAGACAATAGACTCTAAAACATTTGTTTTTGTACAAAGTCAGGCAAGGTCAACAATTTACAAGGTCTGGCCTGCAAAAACAAGTTGTTGACCTATAAACGACAGGTCGCCTTGTAATATGCTTTTGTTAACTGAAATGAGTTTTGGAAACGGCTACAGTTTGTACTGAATAAGCTCTTAGCATGACCACATTTTGTTCAGTTATGTTGTTTCACTCAGTAATATTACCTAGTACTTAATGTTTTTCACTAGTCTCTGAAAACTTGTATGAGGTTTATTTGTGTTCTTCACAGTGCTTACAACAGTACTGTAAGAAGTGCCATCAGAGCTTTCAAAAATAAATTTTCAATTCTGCAAATGAGGGAGACTCAGTGCATGTGTACATCATTCATGGCTTCTTTCTTAACCACCCAAATATAGAGATATATATATACCCACCACATGTATGAATTATGAAGGTCTGGAGAACATTTACAATCTATTGATTCACAAAAACCTCAACAAAAGAGTTTTCAAACAGATTCTTCATCATGGCTCTTCCTATACTTGGCTTAAAATAAGACGAGGCTTGCTAACTGGAAATCTCTGCCCTCTTCGCCGCCTAGTTACCTCTCCCCAAGCTATTAGCCTTCTCTCCTCTTTTCCAAATTGACTTTTGCTGCCAATTTGCTTCAACAATGATTCCAAAGTATTCTCAGTTACAGTGGAAGTAGAAATGCTGGACCTTCTCCTCCCCCTTGCCAATCCAAGTTTAGCTGCATATCTAGCCGAACCTGTTTCCAAACGATCACCGGAAGACTCAACTAGCCCTCCTAGTGTCTGAAGATCCTCAGTCACCTCATACCTTGACAAAGAGGCAAGACTTGGGAGAATTTCACTCTGGAAGTCCTTCCGCTGCCTTCCCCTCCTTTTCCGGCCCTTCCTTGGCTGATTTGGTGATGAAGTGGTACCTGTCTCTTCATCCTTGTGGCTATTACTTCTACAGCGGCACTCTTCCACCTTTGTCTCAGTCAAATTCAATGTCATGACCTCAAAGTAGTCCATTCCATCAGGTAGAAGATCTTCACTCATAACTACTCCAGCCTTGTTCTCTGGACCACCTACAACTGCAGAAGCTATCCCAGCAAACCAATGTAGGGAGTCACATGAAGTTTTAAGCAGCTTGTTTGTGGTTCGTGCAATACAAGTATGAAGCCCAGATGATGAAATGGACGCCAAAGATTCTGCTGCAGTCCTGATTAGTTCCTCTTCCAGATCCACTTTCTGTCCTGAGTCTCCTGACGATGGAAAAGGTCTCTCGATTTGATTTTCATCAGATTCTCTTGTTGGCACAAAACACTCCTTGTTTTCCAGATCTTCCTGTCCTAACAACAGAAAAGGTGTCTCAACTTGATTTTGATCAGATTCTCCTCTTGGTGGAGAACACTCCTTGTTTTCTGGACTAGCAGGTGCCTCCAAAACAATTTCGGTTGAAAGAGAGGAAATTGGTGAAAACCCATCACCATTTATGGATGAGTTCAGGTCAACTTGTAATCCAAAACCTACATCTTTCTTATCAAATTCATTCTCTACTACATGTTCTGTTAGTTCTATTTCTGTGTCGAGCACTGAATCACAAGCCAAGTTTAAATCAAGTACCACATATTTTTCTCTTTTCCTTTTCTCTTCAGGTGGGTTCAGATTGGCATTAGAGGGGGAGCCATGCGAACAGCCATCACAAGAAATGTTAAGCTTCCCACAACTAGCAGCAGAACCACAAATCCTTTCACTTGAGTGGTCACTTGCCTCCGCCGGGTTTGAATCTTCACGTCCTTTATCGGTTTTGCTACTATAAACAAGCTTTGGCCTGTGCCATTGCAACTGCTCATTATAATATTCAAGCTTCTGTGATCCAGTTGTTGCTTGGAAACTCTGGGAAACTGCCACATCCAGAGGACAGCTAAGAGGCATGAAATTCAAGTTTATATCCTTTGGGGACTTAACATTTCCAGAATCCTGCCTGTATTTTGTAATGCCATGGTGTTCACTCACTAAATTGTCATTCACCCTGATCAGATTATCAAAACTGATGGGTGGTGGTGGGTGAGCCTCTAAATGCTTGGATTCCATCTGGGAGCCATTGCTAAAGCTACTATCAAGGAAGAAGGCACTACCATGTTTTGTGCTAGATCTCAAATCCTTTTTTAACTGTAACCTGTTACCATAAAGAGCAGGATTTACCGTTGACAATTTATAACTATTACTGACTGGTAAAGGGGTGTTAAAACATGGGAGTGCTTGAGAACTTGATGCCTCGGGTGCTTCAGAAACCTTTCCATTTCCCAGAAATTCTTCTTCTTCATTATCAATGTATGCATCAGCCGGAAGTTCAAGATCCACGAAGTTCTTCTGAAATTTCTTGCATTTGGATTCCAACAATTCACAGTCTCCTGAACGACCTTCAGTTTGAGTTGAATAAGTGCATGCCTTTATGTTCCTCCCTCGAACAAAACATGAAGGTGATTGGATACTTTCAGCACCTGAAACAAATATTTGATTGCATACAGGGTTTACCAAAGGCAAGGATGGCATGTGAAATGTCTTCTGAACGCAAACAGATGAGCTTTGAGACAAAGAAGTAGTCAACTGTGAAGCCTCCATCTTCAGCTGATATTTAACCAATTCATTCCTCCTTATTTCATTCATTAGTTCTCTTTGTCTTCCATAAAGGCGATGAAGGTCCTGAATCTGGATGGACAGAAGACATGTCAGGCATATTTAAGTGTTTAAGAACTTTCATAAAAAGTTGGGAATATCAAAGATAATGTGGCCATAATGAAATAACCCAACGATACAAAAATCAAAACAATCAAAATCCCTTGAAAAATGAAGGATTATGACTCAATGATTTGCAGTAACACCATTTGATGTTTATGGACCATACTACAGTATTAACAAGTGATAAAAGACAATTGTTGTATAAATAGTTATGATATCCATAGAAAAAAGTAGAAAGAACTAAGAAATTTGAGTGCACTAAGCTCAATGAAATTCAACGTTCTGTATATTATTGTTGGCATGAATGGTCAAAATACTATACCTGATCCCTCAATATCATTTCTTGCTCGAGCATTGTCTGCTTTAATACCCCCTTGTAGTACCCTAAAAACTGGTCAGGAGATGAGTTATGCTTCCTTTTACTGCTATTAGCTATTAAGTTATGATTCCTTGTCAAGTAATATCCTGGGAAATAGCTGCTGCACTGGATATGTGCCCCCATCTCCAGAAATTCTACACATAATAAAGCACAAAGTTTACTGGATAACCCAATAAAGTATAACCGAGCACCCTCAGTTCCATCAGAAAGAAAACATGCAACAGTGTACAGAAATCAGAATAGGTTAGTTTGTACCGTATAGAGACATCTAAGGAGAACAAATTGAAACTGTTTCAGTATAGAGCATCTAGAATGCTCAAGAGTATAATACCCTGATACCAAAGAGAAAGGTGACATAAAAGAAAGGTCTTAAGAAAGACACTTTTTAATAGCTTATTCTTAATTAAAAGGACAATACAGAGCCCAAAGTTCGAGCACATTGAAGAGAAAAATCAAAAGAAGCTTCTAGGTAGAAATGGGCTTAAGAAAACCTACTAACATAATGCTGGTGGTTCCTACATGCCTAGGCCAAGATGATCAAAGAGACAAGCCAACATTTTGAAACTGTCAGGCTACAATGGTCCCTACTAGGGAAACCAATTTGAAATCATGTAACTCAAGAGTTGATTTGAGAGGAAATGCATTGCAAGTTGAAATATGTGTCTGTATTTGGAGAAAAGGGGGAAGAAGGAAAATGTCATCACTCTACAAAGATTGAAGTCAACAAACTTTAATGGGACAACTGCGCTTACTCAAGATATCCATGATCCATCACAGTAAAAGCCGCCAGACTAGTAAAAATGGAAACAAAATCAGAATTAAGACCAAGCCGTAATGTATTCATTCCACTGGAGAAGAACAAAAAAAATACCATTTTCAAGATCGAACAAAGCAAAGATTTGGTAACATGGTCTATATTTTCAGCATTGATCACAGCCCCTTATCAGCATTGGGCTTATGTATCCTCATATAGTGGAAAGCTAAATGTCAAAGTCATAATAAAATATATCACAGATTCCAGGGGAACTAGGAGTAAAAAGTCAAAAATAAAGATCAGAATATTTTTCAAACCAGATTGTCCAATAAAAGAATTGAGAAAATTGAACACAAGAACACTAATTACTCATTAAAAAAATATCCTTTACAAAATGTGGTTATAAATTCCATCTTAGCTATAAAAATGAGTTCTTTTTGGTATTATGTTACCGATGAGCAACAAAAACTGGATAGACCCATCAATCAAAAACATGAAGCACAGAAGTTCATTCCACTTCATGGATGTTTATTTTACAGAACAAACATACGAAAAAGAAAACAGAGCAAAAGACAAACAAAAAGGAAAAAGGATAATAAAAAAAATCCATCAAAGGGATCACCTTTATCATTAAAACATTGATATAAATCTAAGGCTTACCTGAAATTTGATGCATAGTCCTATTCTAGCTTCTCCTCAAAAACCCAGCAAGGATTCACTCATTCCATGACTGATGTCTTGCTCTGAACCACAAAACAAAGCAAAACAAGAACAGCCGAAACAAACCCACGAATCAGGAATCAGAATAACAGAGTATCCCAAGAGAGCTCAAACATCAAAGGAGGCATTTTGGAAAGACCATGGAAACTATATAACGTTGAAAACTTTGGATCCTCTGGGCCATTTTCTCTAAGAAGATTTAGAGAGAGAGAGAGAGAGAGAGAGAGAGAGAGAGAGAGAGAAATAGCAGATAAGAAAAATCCACAGAAACAAACGAAACTTACATGAGAA